GTATAGATTTTAAAGAAAGAGAGCCAGTGGGATGGTGGGGGAGAAGCAGGAGGCTGCTTGCTTTCAAATAATCACTTCTTAAGCCTGTGCAGAATTGATTTGATTTACTCATTGTCACATGTATCTTGTTACAAGATACAGTGAAAAGTGTTGTATAGTTTTGTGACTCTCTGGTACCATGTGAAAGCATTGAAAAATAAACTGAAACATAGAATGTGAAGGCAGAAAAATGAAGAAATAAAAAAAGTGTCTAACTTTACAGTCCTTCTTGTTAAGTGCTCTGTCATCAGCCAACAGCCATGGGCCAGGTGGTCAGGCACGATTCCCCTTCGCCACGCTGCTGGAACGAAAGTCGCCATTCGCTGGTGCTATCTCGCCTCTACCAACATAACCAGTCCCATCTTGGCCACACACTTGATTACAAAACCGGAATTGCAAAAATGCAGGGATAAAGGAAACAGTGCCAAAAGAAACGAGAAACATCCAGATATTATTTAAGTCTTACCTCCATGCAGGTACCTGGGCCAAGACACAGCCTGAAGTCTCGGGACGAGCTCAGTGCTTGCTGCTGTTGACACTACCACCTCCGAACTCCTCCTGCTGCTGCCACCATTTCTGATTCTATAACTACCAGTGCCGCAGCCGGATCCTGGAACATGTGTATATAGGGCCTGCTCTCAGGCCCCAATCGCCAGATCCATCACTGGATCTTAGAACATGCTTGGACAGGGCCTGCCTGCAGCCTCCAGTCGCCAGATCACTCACTGGATCCTAGAACATGCTTAGGCAGGACCTGCTCTCAGGCCCCAATCACTAGATCACTGACTGGATCCTAGAACATGCTCAGACAGGGCCTGCCTGCAGCCTCCAGTCACCAGGTCCTTTCACTTATTTAACAGCTCACTGAAGCAAAAGACTTTCAACAAAAGGGATAAAAAAAAGCAAAAGCAAAAAGAAAGAAAAAAAAGAAAGAAAAGCAGATCGAAATGAATGAGTTCAGAACCTCAAACACAGCACTGCTACTCCATTGCCATCCTGGGAATTATTTAAGATTATGGAGAGTAACAATGAGCAGTTTTCAAATGGCAAGCAGGAGGAAGACTGAGGGTTTCAGTGTAGCTGCTGGGAGCGGATAGTGCTCCTCACTGCAGTGTGAATAGGGTACATAAAAAGGGAGGGTGAAATGTAGTTGCTCTTGCAGTGTTACAGAGTCGTCATCGCTAGAGCTGAGAGGCTTGGCCTTTGTGAGGCAAGTGGACTTTTGAGAGGAATATGAGGCAGTTAAGTCCACCTCCAGCCCTATCTGCTTGGCCTGGGTTGCTGGAGCTCTTCTTCTGACTGGAGGGTAGAGTGTAGCCCACCTGTCCACTACAGCCTCAATCAGGCCTGAAGATAGAACTGAAAATTGTGGGCAGCAAAAGGATTGATGCCCCTTTGCGCTTCCCATTCATTCATTGCTAAATGCAATGGCTGTCCTTTGCCATTTAACTTATCCATTCATGCCTAGCTCCTGCCCATGCTCAACACCTAGTGAACTCTACTCAATGCCAATTAATGGCTGACACTGTGGATTAAAGGAAATTGTTCCTTACTCTAAGATTAGCTACTAAGCATGTGTGAAAGAAGCTCTAATATAGTGAGATCAGATCAAATGGAACTGGTGCCTGGCTCCAGTGTTTGACTTTTCTTACCACCTGCTGTATACAGTTGCATTCAATAAATTCACTTTCCCCATTGCCATCCCCTCCAGTTGATTGGGTGTGGCTAGGGGAGGGTTTCTATTTGATTTTGGGTCTATTGATCAGCTCATTACAATCAGCCAGTGTGGTTCTCTGCTTTGATCTGATCACTCTCTGTTTCTTTGAGGTGAATTCTTATTGGAAGGGAATGGAAATTTTAAACTCATTAATCAGAATTATTGCACAAAAACTTTCATAAGTAACCTGTATATTAAGTGTCCATACCCACTTTGCAAAATCAAGGTGCTTAAACACTTCAAATTACAAGTATTTCTGAATGAACCATTCCGTGAGAGAACAGCATTTCTAACGGTAAGCTCTTAAGATAGGCTTTTTACTGCCTCATAATCAGTGGTACTTTCCTCAGGCATCAGTGACCAAACCTTGTGCATTTTCCCGGCAAGTTTCCTGTGCAGTGATAAGTGACCAAAGGACTGGTCACTTTAACTACTGTGACATCCACTTGAAAGAGATAATGAAAGTTCTCCCTTTGCCTCCTCAAACTTATGAATTAAATGACTACACATGCACACAGATTAAAATACGAGGTCAGTATAAAAAACATGACAGTTTAAAAAACATTATATGGATCAGTGACAACAAGGTGCAGGGCTGGATGAACACAGCAGGCCAAGCAGCATCATAGGAGCAGAGAGGCTGACGTTTCGGGCCTAGACCCTTCATCAGAAAAGGGGGAGGGGAAGGGGGTTTTGAAATAAATAGGGAGAGAGTGGGAGGCGGATAGAAGAGGGATAGAGGAGAGGATAGGTGGAGAGGAAACAAACAGGTCGAAGAGGCGGGGATGGGGCCAGGAAAGGTGAGTGTAGGTAGGGAGTTAGGAAGGGGATAGGTCAGTCCAGGGAGGACGGACAGGTCAAGGGGGCGGGATGAGGTTGGTCGGTAGGAGATGGAGGTGCGGCTTGAGGTGGGAGGAGGGGATAGGTGGGAGGAAGAACAGGTTAGGGAGGCAGGGACGAGTTGGACTGGTTTTGGGATGCGGAGATCTTGCGCAAACTTAAGAGTTGGAATCCAAAGCAAATTTTGTTAAAGGCTGATTCTGCGGTCACTGAAATGGGCACGCAGTATTGACCTCCAGTACAACCAGGTGACCATTTAACCGGAATTTTATTTTGATTGGTTCTGATTTGGATGTTGCTAAGTAATTTAACTGTTCCAAACCAGATGTAGGTAGACTTTTCAGGGTGTGCACTCTCCTGGATAGTGGCCTATGAATTCTCTTATTCAATTTAGGTTTTGTGTGGGCCATAGGGTTTCCATGTATCTGTTGCCCTTGTTTTTCTGGTCAGTAGAGATTACAGCTTTGAATATGCTGTTGAAGAAGCCATGGTGAATTCTTGCAGTGCATGTTGTAGATGGTGCAGGCTGCAGCTTCAGTGAGCCAGTCGTGGAGGAAATTAATGGTTAAGGTTGTTGGATTGCATGCCAATCTCTTGAGGTGCTTTATCCTGAATGGTGTCAATTCTTGGATTGTTGGAACTAGACTTATCCAGACAGGTGTATGGCTTTCCATTACTCTATTGACTTGTGCCTTGAACACATTGAAACATATTAGGGACTCAGGAAATGAATCACTTACTAGAGAATACACAGTCTTTGACCAATGCTTATAGTCACTGTATCTATATGGCTGGCCCAGTTAAGCTTCCAATCAATAGTTACCCCAAGGTTATGGGAGATTCAGTGATGGTAATGCTGTTGAATGTTAAGGAGAGGTAATTCTATCCTCTCTTGTTGGAAATGATCATCACCTGGTACTTGTATGATGTGAATGCTATTTTCAAAGCCTGAATGTCATCCAGGTTTCATTGCATGTGGCCACAGAAAGTCATTTTCTTAGGAATTATGGATCAAACAGCTTTTTTAAAAAATCACCCACGTGACATGGGCATCGCTGGCTGGGCCAGCATTTATTGCCCAGCTGTAGATAACCTTGGAAAGGTGGTGGTTAGCTACCTTCTTAAACCGCTGCAGTCCACATGCTGTAGGTAGGACCGCAATGTTGTTCAGGAAGGAGTTCCAGGATTTTGACCCAGTGACACTGAAGAAAACGCAATATATTTCCAAATCAGGCTGGTAAGTAGGTTGAAGAGGAACGTGCACTTGGTGGTGTTGCCATGTATCCACTGCCCTTTCACTTCTGGATGGAAGTAGTCATCGGTTTGAAATTTGCAGTCTCAAGAGCCTTGGTAAATTTATGCAGTGCATCTAACAGATGGTACATACTGCTGTGACTGAGCATCAGTGGTGGAGGGACTAAATATTTGTGGATGTGATGCCAATCAAGTGGAGTGCTTTGTCCTAGATGGTGTCAAGCTTCTTGCCTATTTTTGGAGCTGCACCCATCCAGGCAAGTGGAGAGTATTCCATCACTTTCTTGTGCCTTGTAGATGATGGACAGGCTTTGGGCAGTCAGGAGGTGAGTTATTCACTGCGGGATTCCTAGCCTCTGATCTGCTTTTGTAGCCACTGTACATAGGTAGTGACTCAGGTTCAGTTCCTGGCCAATGGTAACCCCAGGATGTTGATAGTGGTGGATTCATTGATGGTTATGTCATTGAAAGTTGATGAGCATAGTTAAATTGTCTCTTACTGGAATGATCATTGTCTGGCGTGAATGTTACCTGCCACTTTTCAGTCCAAGCCTGAATACTGTCCAGATCTTGTTGCATTTGAACATGGATTGTTTCAGTATCTGAGGATTCGCAAATAGCGCTGAACATTGTTCAATCCTTGCATAATATCCCCACTTCTGAACCTATATTTGAAGGAAGGTCACTGATGAAGAAGCTGAAAATGTTTGTGCTGAGGGGACAGCCCAGAGAAACCTCTGCAGCAATGATCTAAGGTTGAGATGTGTGGCTTCCAATAACCACAACCACCATTTTTTTTCCAGGGATGATTTTACCCTGTGCAGAGTTTTTCTCCTGATTCCCACTGTCTTTAATTGTACAAGGCCTTCTTGATACCACACTTATTCAAATACTGCATTGCTATCAAGGAGAGTGAGTCTCACCTCACTGTTGAAATTTAACCTGCCTTTTCATATTTGGAATATGACTGTAGTGAGGTCTGGACCTGAATGATTCTGATAGAAAAATGTCATAAATGGTGAATAGGTTATCGTTGGTTAGATGCTGCTTAATTAACAAAATCTTTCACAACTTTCATGGTCGAAACCAGACTGGTAGGATAGGAACTAGGAGGAATGGGTTTATCCTGCTTTACGTGGATGGGGCATACCTGGTAGATTCCACTTTTCTTTTTGGCAATCCTCCTACAATTCCCTATTTGAATCACTCCAGACTGGTTTCTGTCTTCTCCAATGCATGAAGATTTTCCCAGTAAAAGATAACCATCTAAGACAGCAATCTTGGACATTATTCACAACTGACCAGTTTATCTTTGCTTTTTCTACATTGAATCAAGCAAAAAGCAGTCTGGCATTAGAATCACTATCACCGCACACGCACACACAGATTTAAAGAATGGGAAGTTGCAAACTTTTAGTTTTTTTAAAAACAATATTCTCACATATACAGCTGTCCTGGTCAAAACATGGCTCTTAAAAAACTAATGAATGGCCTCAATCCTTAGGACTGGTCTACACTTCTAAAAATTTGAGCGATCGTTTTATTTCCCAGTTAGTTCTTTAGACGACAAGGTGCAGAGCTGGATGAACACAGCAGGCCAAGCAGCATCATAGGAGCAGAAAGGCTGACGTTTCGGGCCTAGACCCTTCATAAGGATTGCTACTATGAGACATTCATACAACAAATACATGCAAAATTATGCAGGAAATGTGCCTATTATAAATATGGATGAATGTTACGTTGGAGCTGGGCTAAATCCAAGCACAAAAAAACAGTTGTGGCAGCCGGGAAAACAGTTGAAAGACATTAGGTGTAGTGTACATCATTTCTGCAGGATAAAGTGCACGCCGCAGAGTTAGACCCTTTTTGTTACAACTGGATACTCTCTCTCTCTCTCTCCCCGAGGACAGGCGGAAGTCTCCCACAGCCGCTTCCGTCGCGCTGGGTAGCCGGCCGGGCTCAGTAGCAGCCTTTCAGCCTATTTGTTCGTTTGCAAATAATATTTATTTGTTTCTGTGGGGGTGTGTTCGGGGGAGCTGCCGGGGTTGCACGATGAACGCGGGCGGACAGAGCGATGGTTTCGCCCCGGTGCCGTGTGAGTATGCCCGCAAGTGTATATGCAGGGGCTGGGGCGGCGGACGCGGGGCCCGAGATCAGGCCCAGAGCAGCGCGCGCTGCCACGGCCAGCCCCGGAACCTGGGTAGCGAACACCCCGCAGCCAGGCTCTCAGGAGGCAGGGGGAGACAGAATACTCAGGTTCCAGGGCTGGGATCTAGTGTCTGTCATAGACAAAAGTCAGGGGCTCCTCAAATGCACCTCAATCCCTGAATTTAAAGAGCTTCCCAGCTTGGCACACTTTCAAAATGAAGCCCTTTGAAGACATGGCCTTGTATTTAGAGACTTGCACTTAAAATGTGAGGAATTTTTAAAGGTTTCAGATTTAAAAGTGCACTGTTGGACTCTCAATAATTCCAGCCGCTCTTCCAGTGCCTTGTTTCTCAATGGATAAGTTAAGGTTACAAAATTCAATTCACCCCTAATTTTGGTGCTCACACCAGTTGCTTGCACAAATGGTGCACCATCTCTGGTGCATCATTGCATATGCACCAGTACTATGCAGACTGAGCAGAGTGTGATTATTGTGTGGTGCTGAGTTGACTCCCTCCTGATGACCTTCCAGTGAATGCCTTCTCATAACAGCTGAAGATGCCTTCACTGCAGGAAGGATACCTGCATTAGTCTTGTAGAGTAATCACGATTTTAAGATTAGTAACTGATGCTGGCTCATGCTCTGTTGGTAGATATGCTTGGAGGTTAATACTGTTAGTTAATTTTAGTCAAATCTACAGAATGTGGGGTGGTACATGGTGAATGCCTTGGCTCTCACTTCAATGATTCTGCTTAGAACACATGCTACTGGTTTTTGGCTGCTGCTATTTTTAATATGCTTGGTGTGCTGTGTGAATAGGGAGGAAGGATGATGGTCTATCAATGGATCTTTGGATCTTTGGGAAGCACTCTCCCAGTCTGAGTACAGCAAAGAAGTACACATGCGACCTTTTCCTTTTTTTTAATCTGTTCATGGGATGTGGGCATCACTAGTTCAGTCAGCATTTATTGCCATTCGTAATTGTCCAGAGAGCAGTTAAGAGTCAACCACGTTGCTGTGGGTCTGGAGTCACGTGTGGGCCAGACCAAGTGAGAATGGCAGTTTTCTTTCTCTGAAGAACGTTAGTGAACCAGATGGCTTTCTCTGACTATCAACAATCGTTTCGTGGTCATCATTAGAATCTTAATTCTATGGCGCCTTGTGTGAACAGATCTACTTCCTCCATGCAAGTTGAGGATGCCATTGCCAGTGGCTGTAGAGTTAATGACAACCTTGAAAAAATTTGTATCAAGTACCTTAGAATTTGGATCAAGCAATACCTCCAACTGATGATTCAAGGAAATGGAATAGATAGTATTGTATATTTCCTAAGCATGCAGCTTCAAGATAGTTTTTTATTCATTCATGAAACATGGGCTTTGCTGACCGGTCAGCAGTTGTTGCCCACCCCAAGCAGCCCTTGAGAAGGTGGTGGTGAGCTACTTTCCAGAACAGTCTCGGAGGAGAACTTGCAGTGGGTGGTGTTCCCATGTAACTGCTGCCCTTGTCCTTCTAACTGGTAGTAGTCATAGGTGTGAAGGTGCTTCTCGAGTAGCCTTGGTGAATTTCTGCAGTGCAACTTGTAGAGGTTCATACTGCTCTTACAGTGCATCAGTGGTGGTGGGAGTGAATGTTTGCAGATGTGGTGCCACTTGATGGAGCTGGTTTGATGTGCCTTGCATAGTGTGAAACTTCTTGTGTCATTGGAAATTTAGTCATCCAGTAAGGAGTATTCTATCACAATTCTAATTTGTGCTTTATAGATGGATAGGCATTGAGGAGTTAGGAGATAAATTACTTGCTGCTATTTTAGATTTACATGGCTAGACCAGATGAGTTTCTGTTCAATGGTAGCCGTAAGATGTTGATAGTGGGAGAGTCAGTGATGGTAATGCAATTCAATGTCAAGGGGTGATGGTTAGGTTCTGTCTTAAAGGAGATGTTCATTGCCTGGCACTTATGTGTTGTTGCCAGCCCAAACATGGATATTGTCCACATCTTGCTGCATTTGGACTATTTCACTATCTGAGGAGATGCAAATGCTAACCGATGGTAGCTATCTGAACGTACTTGATGGTAACCTGAACATGCAGGAATCCCATCTGAGCATCATTACAGCACTGGGCCACTGAATGACCTCTGCTTGTTCTGCAATAGAAGATGGTTATTAGCCATTGCGTTACAATTGAAAAAGTATTTTCAATGGGGACGGGGGTTGGGGGGGGTGGGGGTGGTTTAAATATGGACAGTGGGACATAGTTCCAGGATTCCTGCTCCCATTTCCATTTTTGGCTATATTATGACTTCAGGATAAGCAAGTCACCATACAGCAAACCTTCATTGTGGAGATGGATGTTTTACATCCCTGCGATTTCCATTATGTTGAGCCCTTTCAGTCAGGAGACTAATGGGACTTCAGAGAAAACATGAACTATAGGTGAATCCAATTGTGGAGTTCTTTTGATGAGCATATTTAAAAGGTCTTTCTAACTTTACTGTCATAATCATTTCCGGTATGATAAATTAGATATGTCCTTAATGTAGTGTGTTAATAAAGCTTTATTCTTAAAAGGCAAGTCTTCATTAATTTGACCTGCATTACTAACATGCATTAATATGCTTTATCTAACAGTTAAAGTCCATTTCTGCATTCAGCATTATTAAGAAGTAGACATTGAAGTGTCATTGGACTGCTGTGCTTACGTCTTCATGTTGATTTAAAATCCAGAGATCTGATTAGCCTTCAACCCACCCTTCCAGTATCTACCAAGGGCCCTGTACTAACACTGCAAAATCTTTTGAAATGCCCATAAAATCATTTAAAATAAACAATCACACATTTGAAAAAAAGGATAATCCTGTTAAATTTATTAAATAATTAAAGTAAACAAACAAGACATTAAAGAACCACTTAACAGAAACAGCAGGATGGAAATTTGCAATTCTACCTCAAGGATGATGCTCTGGGCCTATAGCTTTGAAAGGAGGCAAATGTTTTGTTAGCATTGTAAATATGACAGTACGTTAAAAAGAAAAGTGAACCTAAGAATTGTTTCAAGTTGACTATAGAGAGAGGGACATGGGTACAAAATGACAATGAGCAAGTTTGGGATTTTAAGTCAGGAAGTCACTTCATTAAAAATAAGCTGTTAGTACTTTGAATGGTTGATTGGATTAGATTGTGAAATTAAAATCTCTGAAATCTTTTAAGAGGCCCATTGATTGATAGGAAGTGGACAACTGGAAGGGTGAGTGACCTGGATCAATGGCCACTCTTGTACAAACTTACAGGTAATGCTTTATGTACGAACATGTAAACCAAATGGGTGGTCAGGCCTTTGCCTTCATAAAAAATTATGTATAAATTGGATGAATAGGCCCTGTTCATCACATATTGTTATGTGAAGCAGTTAACTTTATCTATTTAGGACACAAACCAGCAAGTACATTGTGTATACAGGTAGGTTATCTGGAATGGTATTTGAAATGCACAGTTTGATCAGTATCTAAACTAGTAAACAAGAGTAGAAGTCCTACTATAAAATAAAACTCATGCATTTAGCATTCACAGTGTCCTTGAGTCAATTGTAAATTTACTTCTGTTACAATTGCACATTTGTGCAGTTCTGGTCTTTTATCCTGAGATAGAAGTAATCATATGTTTGAAACTAAATTCATGCCATCCTGTGTCCTGCTGCATGAACCTTTTCTGGGTCATGAGATCTATATTTAATGGAGCGTTTGAGTGGTCAATCTTTTTATAAAAAACATATCCAATTTTACTGTTTGCAGATTTGGATGAACACAGCAGGCCAAGCAGCATCAGAGGAGCAGGAAAGCTCCTGGAGAAGGGTGTAGGCCCGAAACGTCAGCTTTCCTGCTCCTCTGGTGCTGCTTGGCCTGCTGTGTTCATCCAGCTCTGCACCTTGTTGTCTCGGATTCTCCAGCATCTGCGGTTCCTACTACCTCTGAAACAATTTTACTGTTGCCTGGCTTGAAATGTTTAGAGATGAGCTATCAAGCTGGGCTTGATTTACGGAGTTTTAAAGACCCTGTGACATCCTGTAAAGCAAAACAATAATTTCTCTTAATGCACTTTCCCTAAATTCCTCCTTTAACCAATGTCACCAAAACAAAGG